CCTTAAATTTATTCATTGTGCTATTTCCGTCAGACAGACATTTTTCGAGAAACCTGCGATTAATTGTGCATAAATAAAAATTGCAAAAGTAATAAAAATCAGTGTTTTGTCGAATCCTTTCCCTTTTCATTGCCGCGCACTCTCGAGCACGAAATGAATTTATCTCTACATCGCGCAACTCCTGATTAATGTTCCACGCGGTACAATGATATCGGATACGAACGATAACATTCGTGTAGCATAGCAAATGGTGAAAGCTTCTAGAGCATAATGTGTGCGCGTGCCGATCGCCGTGCGTAATGATGAATTTACGATCGTGGAAAGTTTGCGAAGAAAATGCCAAGTACACGAATAAAGAAATGAAAAAAATTTCACCATTTATCATTTTAAACGCATTTCACTGTTAATGATGAGTATTGTTTTACAAGTATTTTATTTATATCATATGACGATTAATATTTTTACACCCAATAGTCTACTGTTGAATAAAAAAAAATATATAATTTATGCTGAAAATGTGTAATAAAAATTGAGAATATTCTTAATAACAAAATATTTTAACCGTCTTCGATTAATTTGCAAGACAGTATAATTTTTATTTATGATATTTTTAAGTACCTAATATAATACAAAAATAAAATATGCATATCACACAACAGTACATGTATGATGTAATATTGAAAAATAAAATTTAATAATTTTAATAATTTGTTACACTTACATGTACGCGAAGGGTGCTCTCCAACACGATCATGTATATATGTTTATAGGAAAAAAAAAAAATAAAATAAAACACATTGAAAACGGATAGAAAAGAATTGCTCCAATATATCGAGACCGTTTGTTTAAAAAGAGAGTAATCTCTCTATATATAAATATCACTGTACGATTATGACATAAATTGTACAATTACAGCGATTGTCATTTCTAATCGGCTAATAATGAAACTATATATGAGTAGGAAAAAGAAATGTTTCTTCGTAAATGCAATACACACAAGTGACAACTTGATTAACTATGTTCCATATAGCAAATGATATATCATGCTGCATAACAAAATATATAAACATATCGAGTATTGTGAATAAAAACTATTAAAATTATTAGTAAATTAATTGAATATGTGTATCTTTAATTAATATACACTTAATATAATCAACCTTGTATGTGTGAGAAATTATAGAAAAAAAAATTAATACAAAATAAAATTAATAAAAACTTAATAATACAAAATAAAATCAATAAAAAAAATTGATAGAAAATAAAATATTTTTGAAAGAATATATTTGTCAAAAATCACGCATTCGATATGCAATTTTCAATTGAATTTTCGTAAAGTTTATTAATTAATAAAAATTAAATAGATTTATTTAATAAAATTAAAATTATATTTTGCGGGAGATGCCTAATGTGTTAAAAAAGTTGCTCCATAATTCCAGCTTTTACGAGATTCGCGACCAATTCGTGGTTGCCAATCTCACCGGATATATCTCTCTCTCTCTCTCTCTCTCTCTTTCTCGCGCGCGCGCGCACGATATTTATCCCACAAAGATGCACGGTGACGCGTGCAATTTCCGATGGAAGCGAGACCTCGCCGCCAACGTGATTTAAAGGTTAAGCCGAGGTTGGCCGCGCGCGCGGTCGGCCAATCGACTGTAAGGGCTCCGTGGTTAAACTTAAATCAGATCTGTACGTCGATTTAAGCCGGCCTCGATCGAGTGCTCGTTATATTTAATTTCCATCCGTGCATCTGAAAGTTCGAACAGGACACTTAATGTCCTTTAATATAGCGTCTCTCGACTCTGTTTAACTTTGTTTAGGCGAATTACTCATACAAAATAGCACAAAAAAGGGAGAACGACTTGATATTATTAGCAACAGAATAATAAAATTAATAATAAGAAATATAGCAATTAATAATAAAAAATGAAATAAATTTATTATTTGATTTAAAAAGCATTATTTCCAATACGATATTTTAACAAGTAAATTCGTCACTATATTAACTGGAATATTGCTTTCAGTAGAAATTCAATTCTACTTTGATTGTATAGTTCCTTTTCTCATTCTTTATAATAATATTTATGTATGTTATATAATAATATGTATATTTATTATTATTATTTATGTATATTTATGTATGTTATAATAATATGTATGTTTATAATAATATTGTAGTATGTACAATGCAAATTTGTAGCATCGATCGGAAAGTTAATCAAGGAAATGTCGAATACGCTCGTCTCCAACTTACAATACTCCATTTGCGCGATTAAATGTCTCGTGAATTATCGGGGTGCAAGTTTGAATGCACATAAATTACGGTTAACGTAATGCAAGAAAGTCATGTCAACTTCAGGCAAATGTAAGTGATAGAACGCTCCTTTCTAAAGGATTTCCGTGTAGATGCGATTAACCGGTTACGCCCTTCTAAATGAAAACAAAGCAAACTTAGAAAGAGCCCTTCCCCTCCAATATTTTCCCCACAGATTACTAATAATTATGACGAACATTCGATCGATACACGAGAATATACAAGCGGAAAAAACGATCATAAATCGTAATTTTAACGATCGAAAAAAATATTGTTAATTTGATTAAATCCGTTCAATTAATCACCATTTTTTTAATTGAAATGTTTATATATTTAAGTCAAATACGACATATTAAATCTAACATGATATATATTTGACTTAAATACTTAAATATTTCAATTTAAAAAATGGTATCTCTCTCTCTCTCTCTCTCTCTCTTTCTCGCGCGCGCGCGCACGATATTTATCCCACAAAGATGCACGGTGACGCGTGCAATTTCCGATGGAAGCGAGACCTCGCCGCCAACGTGATTTAAAGGTTAAGCCGAGGTTGGCCGCGCGCGCGGTCGGCCAATCGACTGTAAGGGCTCCGTGGTTAAACTTAAATCAGATCTGTACGTCGATTTAAGCCGGCCTCGATCGAGTGCTCGTTATATTTAATTTCCATCCGTGCATCTGAAAGTTCGAACAGGACACTTAATGTCCTTTAATATAGCGTCTCTCGACTCTGTTTAACTTTGTTTAGGCGAATTACTCATACAAAATAGCACAAAAAAGGGAGAACGACTTGATATTATTAGCAACAGAATAATAAAATTAATAATAAGAAATATAGCAATTAATAATAAAAAATGAAATAAATTTATTATTTGATTTAAAAAGCATTATTTCCAATACGATATTTTAACAAGTAAATTCGTCACTATATTAACTGGAATATTGCTTTCAGTAGAAATTCAATTCTACTTTGATTGTATAGTTCCTTTTCTCATTCTTTATAATAATATTTATGTATGTTATATAATAATATGTATATTTATTATTATTATTTATGTATATTTATGTATGTTATAATAATATGTATGTTTATAATAATATTGTAGTATGTACAATGCAAATTTGTAGCATCGATCGGAAAGTTAATCAAGGAAATGTCGAATACGCTCGTCTCCAACTTACAATACTCCATTTGCGCGATTAAATGTCTCGTGAATTATCGGGGTGCAAGTTTGAATGCACATAAATTACGGTTAACGTAATGCAAGAAAGTCATGTCAACTTCAGGCAAATGTAAGTGATAGAACGCTCCTTTCTAAAGGATTTCCGTGTAGATGCGATTAACCGGTTACGCCCTTCTAAATGAAAACAAAGCAAACTTAGAAAGAGCCCTTCCCCTCCAATATTTTCCCCACAGATTACTAATAATTATGACGAACATTCGATCGATACACGAGAATATACAAGCGGAAAAAACGATCATAAATCGTAATTTTAACGATCGAAAAAAATATTGTTAATTTGATTAAATCCGTTCAATTAATCACCATTTTTTTAATTGAAATGTTTATATATTTAAGTCAAATACGACATATTAAATCTAACATGATATATATTTGACTTAAATACTTAAATATTTCAATTTAAAAAATGGTAATTAGTTGAACGGATTTAGTCAAGTTATCAATTTTTTTTCGGTGCACCTATCAATCAATTACTAATAATCAACGGAAATTAATAGTCGATTGCATTGTCAACCGATGACATTGATATATTCAATTGTGACTTGTTAGCACACAAATTATAAATATTTCTTTTCGACTATTATATTTTTTCTCGAAAAATTATATTTTTATATATATAAGTGGAACAATAGCTTGAAAAAAGAACAGGAAAGATCTCTTTTGTCAAAATAATAGATAAAAATTTTATTTTACTCTGTAAAACACAAGGTTTGTTAATTAAAAATATTCTACAAAAGAGTAAAATTTTATTTTTTTCAATAAAAAATAATCGTTTTGTCTCTGCGTATCTCTTTCGATATCATAATTATTATTATATTATTATTAATTATTATATACATGCAATGAAGTTTGCTTTACTTAAATGACAGCGACAACGCTCGATATAACTACTTATTTACCGAAAAGACACAATATCAAAGCATTGAAGTCTCTTCAGAGAGACTATCGATATACAAAAATATCTGTTCAAAGCATCCATAATCCCATTAATATCAGCACTAATCACATTCGCAATCATTCGTGAGCGCGGTAATGACATGACAGTAACGACGATCAATGTCAGGAGCGTCCCACATCGCGTATAAATGTAACGCCCCCATGCAAGCAGAGACACTCGCGCGATCGAGAACAACAAACCGTCGTTAATGGCGAGCACCATACCGTGTGTCCTTCGCCTTTGCAGCTGGATTATATCCGAGGAATTATATATATATATATATATATATATACCTGCTATGTCGAAATTCGTCTCTTGGACGATCGGGGAAATCCAAAAACTCGTTCGCGCAACCGACTGTTCGAGAGGTCAATGGTCAATGGCGTATTTACGTTTGTTTATCACGCGTTCCTCTCCTCTTAAAATCGAAATTGCGACGACGCGCGCTCGCGCTGTACCATCGGGACGCGCGATCAAAACACAAACATATACAATAATCGTTACTCACCGCCACCGTGTCGTCCGCCGTTCTCTCGCACTTCTCCACGCGTATCTCTCCCTCGCACTTGTCGACCGCTCTCTTCAAGTAATCCACGTCAGGCGGCAAACGTCGGACAGGACACACGGGACTTTAATGATCGTCCTCCGCCGGCATCGGGCGGCACGCCGTTGTCGTCGTCGTCGTCTCTCTCGCGATCACAAAACCGGCGCTCACACGGCGCATCGCATCGCGCGACCAAATGCACCCCGTACACGGAACACGAACTGACGAGTTATCGCGCGCCGTTCATCTTATCGGAGGGAAAAGGGGGAGAAAAATTTACCTTCACCCGCGCTCGCGCGCTACCCACGAGTGCTCCTGCGCAACTGGCCGGCGACGATATGGCGCACTGCTCCTTACGTCGCTTCCCCCACCATCGCGCGACGCTCATCTCCCCACCGCGCGACCTCGACCAATAAGCGACGTTCGTTGGCCCTCTCTCTCGCTCTCTCGTTTTCTCCCTCTCTCCTTCTCCGCGCCACAGCGTATGGCAAGTTCACTAGAAGCACGTTCCACTTGACATTCGCAACACTCGTGAGATTATTTCGTTCGTGTCGTTCACTGAAAGTTAAACGAAGACAGACCATGCTCGCGAGTGCTGCAAACGATAGGTAGAACACGCTCTAAGTTAGATTTCGGTTTAGGAACGGGATACGAACGTCTCTGGAAATTTCGGACACATTTGTTCCTCTTTATTTGGAAATAAAAACAAAGATTTAGCATAAATATGAATATAAAAATTGTCATGATTATTTAGACTTTTTATATAACTTTTACTACGGATATTATTATTGTTTTTCTTTGTTAATATCGAAAAAATAGCATGGTTTTCATAAAACAAAAGTAATATACATAAAAACAATATGAAAATCGTATTTATTTTAATAGTCAGCCTGCATTAATTTTCATCTAGAAATGCGTCACCTAAAAAGACAAATAATAGCCTATAATAATTGAAACTAATTATGAGTTAATTACGCATGAATGTCGATATTAATATAATTTCAAGATGCATATATATAAATTCTCTTTAATAATTAACGTAATACACACACATACAGAATTCTAAAAAACAGTTTTTCAAAGAATTCCTATCGATATCTGCTAAAATTATTTATGCAATTGCAAAAGTATATAAATATTGTATATATGTATATATATATTTTCTTAACAAGTTTTATTTAGTATGTTTTATTATTATAAATTATTTATCTAAACTATATATTTCTCCCATATTTTTTGTTTTTAAAATAAAATAAGCTTTAGTAAGACAAGAGAAACAAATCTGGTATAAATCTGGTATTATAAATTATTTATCTAAAATATATATTTTTCCCATACTTTTTGTTTTTAAAATAAAATAAGCTTTAGTAAGACAAGAGAAACAAATCTGGTATAAATCTGGTATTATAAATTATTTATCTAAAATATATATTTTTCCCATACTTTTTGTTTTTAAAATAAAATAAGCTTTAGTAAGACAAGAGAAACAAATCTGGTACATATAATAAAATATAATTAAAATAGAAAGAGATAGATCGATAGGTTACAGCTGCACTTTTCCATATTTTCGGCGTTCAAAATGGAATAAGTGTGTACATTTGGACTTTGAAAGCAGTAAACGAACCAAATGTAGACGGTAAAAGCGAAACGAACAAACCGTTTGAAGGATCCCCGTCGTCGCGAGGCGCGAGACTCGCTCACGAATGCGATGACGTTTATCTAGAGAGCGACTAGTCCATGGAGACGGGGCGATCTCTCGCGGAGCGCGGAGGTTGGCTGAATTTTCGCAAAGTATATCTTCGTATCGAAGTGATAGCGCAATCTGGTCTGCAGGATATCGCGCTGGATATCGCGACGTCCCGGGTGATGAGAAGCTCACGCCGTAGTTAAAAGCCGCGCCAACCCCACGTGTGACATTGCCGTGCGCCTTCGCCCGCCTTGTACTTTAGGGAAAAAAATACGGCGCTTCGCAGAAATACAGAGATCATGGCGGTGCCCAACACCGGTGTAGGTGAGTTATTTTGTTAAGCGATCGCTCGCACCCGAGCGCGCGCGCGCGCCAAAAAAGACGCGCGGGTTATCGTTATTATCGGAAGACTCGGCATTTCGAGAGAACGGGATATTTCTTTCGCGGATTAAACGTCCATCGAGTACTTTGTACGCGAAGAAACGCGAGTTGACAGGATGTCGGATGTCGCGAAACCGCCTCGTATTTCTCGCGTTAACAGATGACCGGAGGACGAGACGCGAGAATCCTCCCATTCGTCGATATCTTTTTCTTTCTCTCTCTCTCTCTCTCTCTCTCTCTCTCGCGATACCGCGCTCCAGCTTCGGTCTAGGACTTGGTGTTATCACTCGCGAGAGATTCGGTGTGAGAGGTTAACCATGCTCGATGCCCGCCTCGAGCCATAACCTGTATCAAGCACGTATAAACGTACATCATCGCGCGGATATATACGTACATTATTTCAGCTGTCAGAATGTAAGCCGTGATAAATCTCGTTTCAGTCGTGCCCCGAAACTTCCGCCTCTTGGAAGAACTGGAGCAAGGCCAGAAAGGTGTGGGCGATGGCACGATCAGTTGGGGTCTAGAGAATGACGATGACATGACCCTCACGCATTGGACTGGTATGATAATTGGGCCACCTAGGGTAAGATATTTAATATTTATATAAATGAAAAATATATAAATGAAAATATATATATGATATAAATATTAATATTTATATAAATGAAAAATTTTATATCATTTTTTTTCTCCACTGCAATTGTAATATCAATCTATCATTTTTTTGTATTCGAACAAATATATTTTTACAAATTCTCCTGGATAAAAGTCAAGCAATATGTATTCATTAGCTAAACTATTTCCAAAACTCTTTTTATGTTGATATAAATTGCAAAGATATTACATTTATGATAATTAAATATGTAATTTATAGCAAATATAATGTTATAAAAATATACTTTGGTATTAATATGAATGATAATATGTATATATAAAAAAAGTATAAATTTTACATTAAAACAGAAAATGATTATAAGAATTGATTACATCAAAATGGATATTTTGAATAGAACATCAAGGACTTATAAAATATGTATAATTTAGTGCTCATACATTTTTTTTAGACGCCATATGAAAATAGGATGTATAGTCTGAAAATTGATTGTGGTCAAAGATATCCAGATGATGCACCTAATGTAAGATTTTTAAGCAGAATCAATATGAATTGCATTAACAGTGCTACTGGAGCTGTAAGTATATAAGATTGTTATGTGCATTTATAGTAATATAAAAATATATATACTTAGGATAATAAATAAAATTTGCATACAAGGTGGATAATCGCAGTGTACCGGTCCTTGCAAAATGGCAACGGGAATACACAATTAAAACAGTTCTTCAAGAACTCCGTCGTTTGATGACGTTGAAAGAAAATATGAAACTTTCTCAGCCTCCGGAAGGCAGCACTTTTTAGCCTACCCATACAAACAGAGACATCTTCCTTTTTGCAATAGCATGAGGTGAGATCTATAATGAAGGTACCAAATGATATTAAAATGGTGCCCGCTAAAAATATATGTTTAAAGAGAAACAAAAAAAAACAACTTTGTGAAAGAAAGGAGGTAATAGCTTGGAAAGTTGAATGAGTGTACCAAGTTCATGTATAGATAGAAAAGTTGACAAAATATTTATATTAAACACAGCTGGTTCTTTATCAAAATTTTTCATTAAAAATATAGCATTCTTTACAAATCCAGATTAATTTTGCAAATATACTATCATATGTGCATGAATTAGTAATTTCATTCATGTATGATCTGATTTACGGGAACTCTGCTCCAGCTTTTCAAGCTAGTACAATGTAAAGTGAAAAAATCATATTTTGAATCTTAAAACTGGAGACACAGACTGTGTAATAAAATGGATAATCAGTAAGAATATAACTTATGCCTTTAAAGTTTTTTAACGAGATGAAAGATAACGTCTGGTACTGTGAATCGTTTTAAGACTTCTTCTGTTTGCGCGTAAGTGCCATTTCATCTCTTGTGGAGGTGTCTCTCACTCAGTAATGTTTTAGAAAATTTGTAAATTCTAAATCGTAAATTTGTACATTCATTTTACTTTTCCATGCTGCGTACCATTTCAACTGGCGTTCTTTGACGAAATAACGTGCATATGTTGCGTGCATCTGGCAAGTTATATCCTAGAAACGGCCTCTCACGTTAGACGAATTACCTTTTGTAATCGTCGAGATGTCGCTCCGTAAATGAAACATACATAAACGTTTGATTTGTAATATTTCATATGGTGAATGATACATAATGTTGTATGGCAAAGTACATCAACGTATGAAGCATCATAAACGAGATCTTTTATTTAGTATTGTATTTGAATATATGTGTATTGGAAATATACACGCTACCCGTATGTGTATGTATATTTGATTATATCTATTAAAATATAACATGATTAGTAATATATGTATATATAGATATTCTGTTTACTATTTGATCCAGGCTTCATGATTGATGTATTGTGAATACAATTATATTTTAATTATATAATTTTATTATAATATAAAAAATCATACCTCTAATTCTTAAACACGTTGTGTAAAATACATAAGCTGCGTATTCATTGTTACAAAATCAGATCTATCTCACCTTTAGTGCAATTACAATTATAAATTATATGCATTATATATTACTGAAAAAGAGTTAAATTGTATGCAGCCTATTGATGATTCCCGACAAATGACATGTTATGTTCCAGCAAGAGCATAATTATATAAAATATTATGATGTCGTCTGGAGATTTATATCGTCCAATTAATCGAAATCTTTATACCTTAGACTAAAGCAAATGCCACCAAAGTAGATTTCAAAATATCTTCACATTTGTGTAATTAAAAAATTTTCGATTACCCAAACATACGGTGCATGCGCACGAAATATACACACCTCTTTGTCCGCTTTGCATTTCAGTATTACACTATCGGTAATATAATAGTGTAATTTAAAAATCATCCTATTGAAAGAGTAACGAGTTAAGAACTCCATGTGGACGAAGTCAAGCTTAAGGAGAATAAAATGATTTCCTTAGAAAAGAGTATTGTTTTCTTTTCTTACCCATATGTTCTAACAGTCTTTCTTTTTAAGTCTTGAACAAATTGACACCTCATCAAAATCAAATAACTTTATATATTCAAATTTGTGTGTGCAGGTACTTTACACATATACGTTTGGATAAATTTTGAAAACATGCCTTTACTTATGTAATCTTAGAGAATGCTTTTAGATAACAATTCGTAATAATAAAATTTCAAGTAATTTGTAAGAAATGTTATAATACAGAATCTCATATAAATATATATAATTGGATCTTACCAAAAATCGACAGAAATAATGTACTCAATCAAATTAAAATATATCCTTTAATCTCTCTTGCAGATTGAAATATTCATAAATATACTCAAACTTATATTCTGTGAGTTGCTTGAAGATCGTCATTTGTATTGCATATGAACATCGTATTAAAGAAAATAGATGTTCTTTATGTTTAACAATTTATTTAAATCAGACGATGGACTCCATTTGATATATAGCTATGTACAATGTATAATTTAATAGTTTTGGTGATGACAAATTGACAATTCAATTTATGTCAAATGCTATATGAATAAGATTGAATCTTCAGAAAGGAGCCATAACTTGCTGGATACATTGCTTAAATTGCGAAACTACATTCCAATACCAGCAATAGCTAACATCGCCGAGTTAATTTCCAGCATGATAGCTAATGGTATTTTTTAGGAATAAACATTATTTTTGTGCTCTTTATAGTCGTCCACTTGTGTCGTTTGAAATATAATGAAGCAGCAATGAGAATTGACATTATTCCAATAGCCTGCAAATAATAAAGTAATTAAGATAAGATATATTAGATATAATATATTAGAATAAAATAAAATATATGATATTCAGTTCACCTTGATAGCCATTCGTTTTCGATCATCAAATTCATGATTGGCAGTCCACATTAGGAATGTGGTAATATCTTTTGATATTTGAGAGGCAGTTGGAGGAGTACCATCTTCATACTCCAAGACTTCATCATAAATAGCCTATAAAAGATTGGAATAATGAATATCTTTGTTTTCTCTTTCCTTTTTTTTATTTTATTTAAAACTCAAAATCTCGCTAATTGTAACATTTCTTATTTAAACAAAATAAATTGGACTCACCTGTGCCATACCAATGGCACCACCTAAGAAATATGGATTGAAATATTGTCCTTCTCTCAAATTTATACCAGCTGGTGGATCACAGTATCCGGTCAATAAGGAGAAAATGTAGTTCTGAAATATGAAATACATTTTCAAATAAAAGTTATTTGTATGTGTAATAAATAATAAAATTTCAATACATATATAATATTTTTAATATTATCTATACAATCGAGTTAAAAGTTTTGGAAAAGAAATTAAAAAGTCGATGTTTTTTTAACAAAAAATTTACACATAAAAGAAATCATTATAGATTTAATAGATTTAATCGTATTTTTTCTCTTTCTATGTATACTGCTAAGAAATGACTTACTTCTCCATTATGCCTGGCATTGAGTATGTAAGATAGATCAGGTGGATAAGCACCATTGTTCGCTGCTCTAGCAGCTTCTTCATTTGGATATGGAGATGGTACATAATCGAATAATTTTCCTGGACGTTTAAAGTATTCTCCTACATCATTAGGACCATCTTCCACCTATATCATAAAAATTACAATTACATTTTATATTCTATCAAGTTACATGAAATGGATTTCTTGTAATTGATATAAAATATACCATGACTTCTTCCGCGAGAGCTTTGGCTTCTGCTTCAGTGTGAGTAACATTAACAAGATGACGGTATGCCACATATTGCAAACTGTGACAAGCAGCACATACATTCTTATAGACTTCCCATCCTCTCCGCATACTATAAAATATTATAAATTAATAACAATAGTAATATTTTCATTTTGGCTAATATCTATATGCTAAAAAATCGCACCTAGCATGATCTAATGAATTAAACCATCCATAAAAATCCCATTTGTATGTTGGTGCATGAGCTACCAAATCGCTAGCTCTTACTGAGCTATCTAAAGCGTAAATGAAGGCACTGATGCCTCCGGCTGTTACTCCTAAGCATGTTAATAACTGTAATTAAAAATGTTATACATATTACTATTTTCTTTTTTGCAGTATAGTATATATAATGCTACTGGCACATGTTACATAATAACATTGTCATATTAAAGATATATAGGTAAATAAACAAATGAGAAATACTCTAACTTACTATTAACACATGTAGTTTGAAAAAAACACAAAATTAATGTGTTTTTGATGGATGAGGAATGGGACAAGGTGAGGATATCTTCAATCAAGATAAATTAAATTCACATACCACTTTCCGACCCCTAGACCAATCTTTCACAGTGGAGAAATTGTTGGTCTGCAAAAACAAAATTCAAAGTTCAAATAACAAAGTCACATAACATATTTTATATAAAAATAGGGGGAAATAAATACTACTTTATGTATGTGTTTACCTTTTTTATATATTTCTATTTTTCTTTTCTCACATATTGATCAATTTGATTTTTTACTTCAATTATTTCAAATTTATAAACACATCTTTCATTTATATATTTCTCATATGATATTTATTATTTATATATAGATCAATAAACTGAATTGTATATAATCAACTATGTACTCTCTGTTAATAAAGTCAAAGATACATTAATACCTGCTGATAAATAAAAAAATTTGAACTTGCAAACATTACATTTTTTCAATTTTTATAAATGTTACTATTAATATAATAAAATTAGAGAAAAATATGTCTAATAAAGGGTACATATGGGCTCCAAAGTAACAAGTAAAATAATATTTGATTCAAAATTTACAATTATACAATACACACACATACGCGCACGCACACACTCATACACACACATATACACACATACACTTGATAATAGATATAACTATTCTTTCAATTAGACGATAAGATCATGTCATGTATATTAAGTATTATTCAATGTGATAGCGAGCACGATAATACACGTTCACCTGCGTTATCGACCACGCATTGAAAGTATATCAGCAACACATATTTGACATCATGGCAGCATCCCGATTTTTGATCGCTCGCTATTACATAACATCTGTTAAATTAAATTAAAATATCGTCGAAACCGTCACGAAATTACAATCGCGCGACGTCGCGACTTTCGCCGGCGTCCCGACGTCGCGCGAACGTCCCGTGGGACGTAAATGTCGTGGGAAATGATGCTGTGACATAGCAGCCGACACGAGTTACCCTCGACGAGCCCTCGGGTCAATATCGGTTAACGTTAGTATTGTGACACTCGAACGCCGTGATTTTTAGCGTGAATTTTCGCGAGTAGACGCACGCGGACGTCACCGATGTCGTCGACGCACGTCGTTCGCTTACCTGGCCGATTAAGGTGCCGTAATTCGGTTTTAAAAGACCCGATTTACAAATCCGACCTAACGTCGCCGCCATGTTGGCCAGAGATGCAATGCGCCAAGAATTGTGTGCTGGTCAGTGAATGATGCTCCGTGCGATCGACGAAAAGTCAACTCGCGACTCTCGCAAAAATTCTTCTGCGATTATTCCGATTTTTTTCACCGGTCAAGGGGTCCCCGAAAGAGGTTAAACGAGAGGATATCGAGATGAAGATGACTCTCGATCGAACTCACGCAGGGCTGCCAATATAGCCACGAACATCCACGCGTTCAAATCATATATAATGCACGACAGAAATATTATATAAAAAATAAATAATACATAATATATATCATAATAAAGAAAAATAATAAATTGTATGTATTATTTACACGATACATAATATGCGCAGAATTTTTCTTTTTTTAACCGTATTTTTTTTTTGAGTTTTCTCTTTCGTATTATATATATATATTTATTACTCTATTTATATTTTCAGACATTTCAAAAGACATCACAACTTTAAAGTTCGTTGAAACAGTGTTTGCTTATTCGTTATCATCAAAGTTTGTTTACTATTCTAAGAATTTTAGAATAATATAATAAAAGTTGCATAAAGCCCGTATCAAATTACGCATTGAAGATTGAGATTAAAGATTGAAGATTGAAATTTGACCAATCAAGATAAAGAATTAGTCAAATTCCATTTCAATTTTCAATGCGTAGTCTGATACGGACATAAGAGGGATGAGATCGAGGAGTTTTCCAGCAAGAAGACACAAACACTGTCACGTAATTGGCTATCGCAGTTATAAAAATTTTTCTATTTAATAACCAATCACATGACATTGTGTTTTTCGCTGGAAAGCTCCCATCGTCAATTTTCTCCACTGTAAATAAACAGTGGAGATTGTTTTCGCATTATTTCTTACATCGAAATCTAACTAATCGAAATTATATCAATTTCAAAATTATCCCTTTTATTATAAATTATCCCGCGTGATTAAATTTATTGATATATACCAAAATTGTGGCCGATATCATTTACATATCTAGACCACGTTCGATTTAAGAACTGCAAGCCCGAAAACTTTTAATCGGCCAATTGAGGCGAAGATTTCTTCGTTCTGATTGGTCCCGATTGATATCCGCGTAAAATCGCCGTTTGAAGATTCTCCCGAATGTCAGCGACCGCCTTGGGGTGGGAGGGAACTGCGTCGCGCATGCGCCGCGCGCTGTTGGCGCTCTTCGGGCAGTCCGTCGTCGATCCTTGCTGTCAGCTGGGAGTTCTCGTCAGATGGTGTCGTGAATCCCGTTAAATCACATCGATCAGTGCGCGACGGAGACAGAGTCAAGATGAGCGGTGGTATGCCAGAGCTGGGCTCGAAGATCAGCTTGATCTCGAAGGCAGATATTCGCTATGAGGGCCGACTGTTCACCGTCGATCCGCAGGAGTGCACGATCGCCCTTGCTAACGGTGAGTAGCATCGACAAGAATCCAAGATGGAGTCCCGGCCGCGCCGCATCCACCATGCACGATCCCCGCCGCCAACGCCACCGAGAGATCAGTATCCACGATTCGTTTCTCGCTCCGTACAAGAGCCTCGCGACCGATATAATTTCACCGATTTTAATTATACATATTATATCGTGTAATTAACTTTCGTGCGATTTGTCTCATGTTTTCGGGGATAAACATAGAGGTCACATCTTCTCGTGACTCCCGCCTCTTAACTCTGCCAGATCGCGAGCCGGTTTCAATCTTTACCGAAGAGAACCTTTGTCGAAACCGTTATAAAGCGGTTGATTAACAATGACAATACTCGTTCATCTCGCGTTATCGATATTTATGATTCCTTTGTCGTACGTCGTGTCGCCGACTTTTGCGAACAAAACGACTCGATTCGCGAAGCGTTGCCGGTACTCGGCGATTTATCCGGCAGACATATCATGCCACAAAACAATCGGGGTCACGGTGACCCGGTCCCTTCGAGTAACGGACGTTTGCTGGAGGACACGCTGGTTCGATTCTCGAAAGTTTCCCTCGTCATGCATAGCCCTTTCGCTAAATCTATCCTTCGGCCTCGTAAGCGTCGTGATTTAATCTGCACAACTCAGCAATCTGCAAACTTCACAAGTATCGGATAATCGTTGAGATGATTGTTAAAGATCAATTTGCAATATATATATCACGGTTATAATTAACTCGCCGAAAACCATCTTAAATCTGTTGTAATTTTTATATCGCGATGGTTAGTATTAGGTTACTCGATAATTCTTAATTATCTATCTAACTTACTATCTGGTAGATAGTAAGTTCGACAAATTTAAAAATTTATGTAAACTTTTTGAACAATTTTTATTGCTTTAATATTATTTTTAAAGGTTTATCTATTAGTATGTTATTGATCATGATATATAAATTTGAATTTGGTATGTGTAACGCTTATATGGAATGTTTGTCTCTTTCTTCAGAATGTTTATATGCCCTTGATCCTCTTGTCCCATTAAATCCAACATGTACATAACAAATGACTTTGAAGTATCTCGAATCTAAGAAACAAATATTATTCTTGGGAATCTACTATATTGAATTTATATATATATATATATATATATATATATATATATATATATATATATATATATATATATATATATATATATATATATATATATATATATATATATATATATATATATATATATATATATATATATATATATATATATATATATATATATATATATATATATATATATATATATATATATATATATATATATATATATATATA